TTGTGGGCCAGTAAACATTTCATTAAAGGTGCATGATCTGGTTATTACTGTGGCTCCACGTTTTATGACAGCAGTGGTGAGAAAATAGCTGTGTTTAAAAAACTCTACATATATTGTAAGTACGTGTGCTTACAGAAAAACCTACTTTTTGCTTGTTAGCACTGAATACTTGTGGTAGAGGTCTTTTGATGAGCAGTCAGGTTATTAAAACTTTGTTCTTCTGTAGGCTGGTATTTTAATGATATGTGGCATGTTAATGATGCATTAACTGACCAATAAATGTATCAGGAATTACGTTTTTTGCTATGATGTAGTTTAATAACTGGTTAAATGAGTTTTGTTTTGTTTGAGGCTCTTGAGAGGAAAGGTTGCCTTTTTTATTTATTGTGTACGTAAATATATGAGGCATACTACATGAAGAGATGTGAATTAAATGTTCTAGTGGCTTCTGGGAATAGTTAGCAAAAGCCAAGAAAAGTCAGGAAAAACCTCAGATCTTTCTTAAAAGCTCCAGGCCAGGGGTGAAGTATGCATAAAGAGAGCTGGCATTATAAGGTGACTCCAGCAATTGCTCCAGATCCCTGTGGCAGTGGCTGCCCAGTGAAGGCACTGCTAGGGAAGAAAGCATCACTAAGATTTTATTCTAGGAAGAAGGGTCGGCTGTGAGTCATCCGGGACTCTGCTGTGTCTCCAGTGACTCATCTGTGATCAGGTCTAGCCAGAGGCAGGCGATCAGAAGCCCAGGTAAAAGGCGAGTGCACAGGGCTGATTTTCCCAGGAGGATGGACAGGGCAGAGAGCATGCAAACTTGCCCGCTTTCCTCTCAAAAGCAGCTCCTTTTCAGATAACTCTTATTGACGTATCTTCCTCTGTTTTAGAATCTCAGCCTGCTCAGCACCTCATGTCTGACCTTACCGAGCTGCGAGACCAAATTCCTACTTGTGTATTTACGTACAGACGTGCCTCGTGGCAAATAGTTGGTATGCTAAAAGCACCTGGGTAACTACGCTCTGGAGCAAAGGCTTTTGCCCAAATGTTAGCCAGGCTTTGTTCCTGGTGTACCTGGCATAACGGTGTTAGTTGTGTGCTGGGAGGGGAGCTGATACCGGGAAACTGGCCGCTGCCCAGGTGTGTATTTGGACAATGATACCCTGTGGGACTTGCATCAGCTTAAGTCCTCCTCAGCTCGTAGCGTTGTTGCTGGAGAGTTGCTTGACGGATATTTCTTCAGGCTTAAGCAGCGAGTTCTCTGCAGGAAGAATACATGCAATTATGGTCAAATAAAACTCTGTGAACTCTAGCACTCAAACACAGCTTTAGACATGCTCGCCCATTTTCAGAGGACTATTAGCTTTCATGTTGCTGCCGGGCAAGTCCAGTAACAACTATTTGGCTTCGTGTGGGGAGAGTGGTTTGGCTCTTCCCCAGTTGAGGGTGATTCAAGGTCTTGTTTGCAGTCATATTTACAGAAGCAGCATTAAGAATTTTGAAAGCCTGACATTTCTCCAGTAGCCAGCTATGAGAAGTAATCCTGACAAATGAAGCAAGGCTATTCTAGGTACTGTCCTGACAGCAAGCTGCTGGTGAAGGCCTCCCTCTTAGAAGACAAGGCCACGGAGTGAAACTGATGTGGAAATATTCTGTAGTTGCAGTATCCTGCAGGTTGGTAGTTGAAGGAAGCTGGTAAAGAACAGTTTTTGTCTCAGAGGTAGATCAGTTGCCCTTGAATATTATTTATTTTGTATGGAGAATTTATTTGCCATTTGAATGCATTTAACTTTAATTTTTTTTCCTAGGTTTGTTGTATATGTGGAGGGATTTACAGCTTTCACTTCGCAATCTTCTTGGCCAAGGTCTTGTCCTTCTCCTGGTGAGGTGTCCACCACACTTCTGTGAGCTGGACAGACTCTTGCTGTTCGGAGGGTTTAGACCACTGAAACAAGGTTGTACACCCCTCTCTGCAGGAGGGAGCCAAGTGGCAGGCTTTTTTCCTCCTCATACTGTGCGTTCTGGCGGGAGAAGAGAGACATCTAGGGTTTGGTTTGCTTTGGGACAGGAGCCCCAGCTGGGCCCATCGGTCCATGGTGTCTGCCTTCCTTACAGTGAGTGGCAAGGTGCACTTCCCTTGCAGGTAGACTAGTTAAAAACAGGGAGAAAGTGAACTATAAAGGAGTCTGGCAAAACGATGAATTACAAAGGCTGGGTGAAGCCCCACACACTTGGCCTTCAGAGTCAAAGCTCTCATGGGCATACTGATGCTTTCAGCTAGGCCGCAGCTCTCTGAACTTCACTGTGGATAAAAAACATGTGCAAAGTCTGTAAACGAAGAGCTGAAGTTAAATGTAAAAATGTGTGAACTGTGAATTTGTTTCCCTTTTTCTAGCTGGAGGCTAAATCTTTTGATGAGCTTAAATAAAATTCTTCAAGGATGCCCATTCAGTCGGTCCCTCTGTTGGCAAGATATTCTGTGGGTTACTCAGAATCGTTGGCAGCTGTCTGAAGCTTTCTTCTTTTCTCATTAAAATTAATGGCAGATCTTCTGTGTGTGAAGACAACTTTGAAGGTTTAGTCAAATGTTTCCAGAGGCAAGAGTAGCAGTTGTTTCTAAAGCTGTTTGCATAAATGAAATATATTCACTACAGCACTCAGATCATGAAACGTTTTGGTTTCTTTCTTGTTGCCTTCTTGGCTTAATGCTTCTTTACATTCTTTTGGCTAATTTTCTTTTGTGAAACTTTTAAGCTGTATATAATACAGCTTATAGAGAAGTACAGTGTTCACTCTACCAGCTTGTAATTAGATTTGGAGAGGGATTACTGAGATAGGAGGCTAATCACAGGAACATAAATTAGAATAGTGGACAAATGTTGGCCTTTGGTGTCTCTCAGACACAGCTGCAATTACTCTGCCATGTTCCTGCTTTCAGTCCTTCCTGAAGGCACCACAAGGACTGCATGGTGGGATGCCAGGAGGGCAGCAGGCTCAATATATCCTGTCACACGTCTGTCTTTATAACTTGGAGAACTGCATTTCTGTACCACTAGTTATGTATCCACTAGTTCGGGCTGGGTCTGAGCAAGGATAAGTTGGCTGAAGCTTTTCCAAAGCAGAAAGAGATGTGGTAGGAAAACAAGAAGGTGTGAAAAAAGTCCTTTTATATCCCCACTAATCAGGGGTCAAGTGTCACTTGAGAGTGAGAGACTGGTACTTGGTAATAACTAAATCAGTGCTCGAGTGCGTTCTGGTTGACTGTTGTCTGCAGTTATCTCGAGTAGATTGTTGTGGCACAATACACACAAACCACAAAACATGCTGTGCAAAGAAATAGCATCTTGCACGGAAACTAGAAATCATTTTTCTTTAGGGGATTAAGATTTGATCTTAAAAAATACTGAGAACATGCATAATTGCTCAATGAGTCCCTGCCAGGATTTGTCTAATCAGATTCTGTAGAATTTACAAACATTCTCGGGTTAATGCTGTTTCAGATTTAATCCACAAATCCCACAGAGGATTACATTCATTGTCACTGCGGCTAGCAAACAACTCTTCTGTGAATGCCAAAGTAACCAAAGACTGGGAAGCCCACAAATCCACTTACAGTATGCTGGAAAGCCACGGCACCAAGCTTTCCTGTGCTTTGGGCAGGCTGTTTTCCTATACTCACAGACTTCCTGTACAAAAAGAAGTTGCTGCCAGCCTTGGACCCAGCAGCTCCAAAATCTGTGTCGTGGTGAGGTCTGAGCCCTCTGGCATCGAAGCAGCTGAGTTCAGTAAGTACTGCTGGATGGCATCCTACACAAAGTCAGAAAACATGACTGAATAGCACAGCACAAAGACTGATAAATTCTAGCAGTGGATTTACAGTTCACAACTTGAGCTTGATGTTTGCATTAGATTAGTCGTGGAAGCAGGGGTTTGAGAGCTACCAACAGAAAGCATTGTGTATCACTGCTGGGCCAGCCAGGAGTTCTCACAGCCCTTTGTGATGCATTTCCATGTATGATTTCTGATTTTACTTGGCAGGCAAAGCATCCCTTCCAAATATGTGTCAGGAAATAGTTATATCAGTCAGTATCGGAGGGTTATAATGTCCAGGTGGCTGTCAGGTGGTGCTCTAAAAGGCCTTAAGGGAGTTTTGATAGCAAGTATGCGTCAAGATTAGAAGGCTTGAAATGTGGGTGTTCCGGGTCTGATGGCTTTTCAGGTAATCTCTGTTGGGCAAAAACCATTTCCTTCAGATCTGGGGCCACAGCCACTGGCACCGCTTTCTTTAGTGACTTTCTTGGGTCAAGTTCTCCCACCAGTGTGGTGCCAGGAGCGGGTGGAGGTGACAGCCCCGGGGACATGCAGAGGCCTGGAGCAAGGTGCTGTGGGGCAGGGAGGCAAGAAGGGCCGTGGAAGCAAGGCTGAACCAAGAAGGGGTGGAAGCCCCAGTGCTCTACCAAGAGCTGGAGTGTATTTATGGCAGGGCTGTGCCGTTTGTTACAACCCTGGGCTTTCTGTGCTGTAACTGAGGCTCTGTGGCTGTAGGGTTTATAGCTCCAACAAGTGGCTAATGTAAATGGACATCCTGTTTTTAAGTGAGAGTTTATCTTTTTTATTTTATTTTATTTTAGTCAGCTGCAGACTGTAACCATGGGATGACAGAGGCACGCTTGTGGTTAATAGTTTGCATGGTTTAGCAAATAACGCCAATAATGGAGGCAAATGTAAATTCAGAATCTCTGAAGTGACCACAGTTAAAAACTGAGGATTTTCAAATCAGATTTCAAGGAATTTTCAGTTCTTCATTCAAGATGAAATGAACAAGCAGCTGTCTTCTTCAGCATTGTTTACCACATTCATAGTTAGCCATGGTTTTAAGCCTCTCTAGAGGTGAAGTCCAGTCTGACGTCTGCCATCCCGTTATAGCTGGTACTTAAATTCAAGTGCCAATGAATTTGTGTGTGAAGAAAATCCCATCCTTTAACTGTTTGTTTTGTTTTATTATTTACAAGGTGGAGTATATGCTAGTAAAATTTGACCATGAGAATAAGAAAGTACGCTTACTGCTGTGTGGCGAAGAAGTTCTTCAGACGCTGCAAGACAAGGGGGAGAAGATAAACCCCAAGTGAGTAGCTGTTTCCTGTTACTTTTTCTTCCCATTACAATACCGTACAGAATTTTGTTCAACTAACCTAACTTTCAAGTCTGCTCTAAAACCATAAACCACCAGTACCAATATTTGCAGATTAAACTGGGGTGCAGGAAGTGAAAGGCTTTGAGTGCACCTGCAGGCAGTCTGTGCACCTTTCATGTTATGCCTTGTGAAAATGAAGGGTGTAATGGTGAGCCTACAGAAGCTGCAGTTTAAGTATTTGTTTTGTCCTGCTATGGTTTTGTCTGTGTGTACTCAGTAATTGTATACCAGACCTTCCTTCCCTGCTGAAGTGTGTGTGTGGACTGAGCCATGCATCCCTGGCTACAGGAGCGAATGAGGTCTGTGTAAAGAGAGCTGCTATCTGTAGGAACACTGTCCCATTTTTGGCAGAAGGCTGGGCGTAAGGTGGCAGGGCAGTTCTTCCCCATCCTCTCCTGTGGAGTTTGCAGTGATAAGTGGATCATATCCCTACTTCAGCTAGCCAGGGAACTGCAAATTTCCTTCTAATTCATGGCACCAGATGTATTATTCCAAAGCAGAGGAATGAGACCAGAGATATTGAAGTGTTTTGGCTGAAGAGAGCCAGAAGCTTACAGGAAGTTGGAGAAACTGCTGTGGTGATAAAAGGCCTTTGTGCCCTGGGCCTGTCTGCTCCTTGCTAGGAACGCCTGGTATCCAGCAAGGCTTTCCTGTTTTTCTTCCAGGGTAGAGGAGCTGTTGAAAGCCTACAAGAAGCAATTTCTCTTCTTTTAAGACTTTGTGCTTCAAACTATTCATGTACAGAGGAGTGTAGGGACAATGCTGTTCTGCCTTTGTGCTCCATGGAGGTGGGGTGGCTTGTCAGGAAAGAAAGATGCTTTTCAGGGGTTAATGGTGTGTTTAAACTTGATTTCATTTATTAGCCCAATAAATTTGTGAAATCTGACCAGGTTTCCACAGGCAGTAGGAATAAGAAATGGAGCATAATTTGTTTGGCTTTTTCTGTAGCATGTTACAACCCCAAGAAACAAAGTTTGAGACAGACACTGAAGCTGTCAGCCCAGGCAGTTTCTGCTTACTACATTATACAACACTTCTGGTGGAAAAATTGTACCTTAATTTCTCTCAACTGTCTCCAAGTGATTCCATCCATTTGAAGGTACATTGTACCACTCTACTCCACCAAATAATCAGCTTTTGGAGGTTTTTCTTACAAGTTGCCTTTGTCTGAAATTTATACTAATCTATCTTTTTTGAAGTTGCATAAATACTTAAATAATGCTATTTATTTTTTAAAGCCACCCAACGCTCTGGCGACCAGAATATGGAAGCTATATGATTGAAGGGACACCTGGGCAGCCATATGGAGGAACCATGTCTGAATTCAACACTGTACAAGACAACATGAGGAAAAGGAGGCAAGAGGCTGCCTCTGTGCTGAAAGAAAATGAGGCCGTTTGCACTGTGACATCTTTTCCAAGGTGAGATTGTTGTTTGAGAAGTGTAACACCGTCTCCTTATTTTCCATATATGCTTTTTTACTGTATAGCTAAACAGTACAATGAAACTGAGCAAAATATGACTCCACTAAAATAGTTAATGTTCCAGTCATGTCTTCTGATTTTTTTTATTGCTGTGAGACAGAAATAAGTCTGCATCTTTATATTTTTAAGCTTCTAATCTATGATGGTTTTGCAGTAGGAGAGAAAACCTGATTATTCATAACAAAGTATAGTATGCAGAGTAGCCTGCAATCTTGAGTTGATATGGTAAAGGTTTCCATTTACTGATTTTCCAAGCTTTGATCTTTATAAATAGCAGTTCTATAAAACTTGGCTAACCTGATCTATTTTTTAATACTACATATTCACTGAAGCACATGCATACTTCCTTTTATTATTTTGAACACAGTAGAAAAGGAATGTGATTACCTTTACAAAACGGAGATGTAAAGCTTCTATAGTCCTGTATTTATTGAATCTAGAAAGGAATGCACCTTTCCTGAGGTCATAACATCCTTACAAAGGGTAGATTTCATCTTATTGTAAGGAGACTCTTGAAAAAGTACATTCAGGATGTTCTACATTGCCTAGGAGAAACTGAACTTTGTGATTTTCAAACATAATTCTGAGGGGGGATTTAATGTGTTCATTTGAACTAGCCTGGTCAGTCAAACGAATGAAGATAATTATGCCTAAAATAGTTCAAAAAAAAAAATCTGCAATAAAACAGAAGCATTTGGCCTTACTGGCTGGTTTCTTGTGTAGTACAGAACGCCCTGAATTGTTGCCGAGAGCATGAACAGTACAAATGTGATTTAGCAGCGAAAATCAGGTACCAAAATACCTCATGTATTCTACCCTGAGATCTCTCTATTGATTAAACTATGCTTCTTCTTTATGGGAACTAGACTAGATATGTCTATAGTAATGAGCGCTTTTTTAAACTCCTATATTAAGCAGTTTTCAGTGTGTTGCAGAATTGCATTTTTGCCCTGCAACATTACAAAAGATTACTTCAATAAATTTTGTATAAAAGATTTCACATCCAGTCTCACAAGGACTAAAGAGATACAGATAAATAGTTTTTACATGACTGTGGAAACAGTACATTAGACTTCATTCAGTAGAAGCTGGCAAATAATATGTACAGTCTGCATATGACTTATCTTTGGAATGATTCATAGTTTCATCCCTCAGAGATTGTTCTCCCTAGGCTGTGTAAGGAGAACATATTTCTTATTTCTGCCTTTAACTGTTTTGCCATTCAAATCCTTGTTCGTTGGAGTCTTGCTAACTTACTTTCCAGGATTTTTTTCCTGTTGTTACATCCTCCAGGGCTCCAAAGAGGAGGGTTTTATTTTGATTTTCTTGCTCATATCTCAGCATTTTATGCCTTATAGGTGTAACTTTTTGTTACTTCCTAGGTTTCTCCCATTAGGGGGTTCTTCAAAGTTCCAAAATCACAAATTGCTGTGACATTTGCTTGTGTGTAACACATGAAACTACCTCTAATTATTAGTTAGGTACATCCTTTTAACAGAGGTGGTTTGTTGGGGGCAGAACTGGGTAAATTACATATGTCAGAAATTGAATGTTAACCAGCAATGTGTAGAGAAACGGAGGCACCGAATGCCAGTGTGTGTCACTATTAATGACAGGTGCTAATGCCCTAAAACATGTGAACTTACTCTGTATAATTCTGTGCAGTTTCCTGATTTGGCCACTGAAAAGGTCTGCATTTAGTCTTCAGAGGTAAAGTAATACTTTTTTTTAAAAAAAAAAAAGTCTGTTTTAGCTACCACAGAAGCCACCTGTTGACGAGCACTGACCTTTTTATGGTAACTCTTTCTGGCAATTCCAGATGGGCAGGTAACAGTCTTGAAAAGCACTTTAGAAGTAATCAGACTTAGATTCAAGTTTTTTAAATCTTTTTTTTTCCCTTTGTATACTGAGATCCTAATCTTAGGTCATCTGACCCTTTTAAAATCACAGGCTGTATTCATTACAACTTGGACTCTCATTGTTGTGTTATATAGGTTAGGGTGTCCTGGATTTACGGTGCCAGAATATAAGCCAACGCCAGTAGAAGGAGGAGCTTCAAAGTCTCTCTTCTTTCCAGATGAAGCCATCAATAAACATCCTAGGTTTAGGTAAGAACATTTCAGGAGATTTCAGGAGTCTGAATGAGAAGCTGATTTTTTTTTTTTTCCTGTGCTATAGAATTGTAGGCATACCTGCAGTAGAGAACTACATGGCTAGTTGTTGCATGTATCCCAAGGACTTGGACAGAGATGGTTGTGATGATGTATTTTCTGTCAAGTGACGTAAAGTAAACTTAAGCTCAAGTAACTTTATATAGTAGTTCATGCCATTATGGGGCAAAAGGTGTTGATTATGCTACTGCAAAATTGTTTCCAGTTTGAAATCCCATGATTAACCTCTTTGTTCACAGTTAATCTAGCTAATCTTATTTTATTAATTTTATTTATATTAATCTAGTTAATCTATTCAGGTATGTCACAGTCCATTTTATTCCATAAACATCTCGGTGTCCTGAACTTACCCAAGTTACTCTGGAATGGAGCATGGTGTTGTACTATTTGTATGCTACTTGTATACTACTATACTACTACTTATGTAGTTCAAGAGGAGCTTTGATTATAAGGATAGGACTTAGGAGAAACAAAATCATTCTGTTTAAAAACTAAGCAATGCCTTTTCACTCACCCTTGTATTCTTCGTGTCAGTAGCCTATTGCTTCTGCCTATTAAGTTCCTCTAAGTGGGTTTGACTTCACTGAAGAAAAATTCAGTGCTGTCTGTTATAGTCTATTGTAAACCAGGGAAAGAAGGGTCCTGAAGGAAAATGCCTAAAACCAATAGGAAGCTGATATTCTGAAATCATGAAAATTAACTCTGAAACTATTTTCATAAAGATAAACCTTTGGATTCATTGAATTCTTCTTGTTCTAGTACACTGACAAGAAATATCCGGCACCGAAGAGGAGAGAAGGTTGTCATAAATGTACCAAGTGAGTAAATCCAATGTATCTTTTACTCTTTTTCAAAAAAAATGTTCAGTCTGTTACTCTGAATTACTGAGTACCTGTGTTTTCCAACCAGTATTTAAAGATAAGAACACGCCGTCACCATTTATCGAAACATTTCCCAACGATGATGGAGAAGCAGCAAAAGCAGCTAAACCAGACTATATCTATATGGATGCTATGGGTTTTGGAATGGGCAACTGCTGTCTTCAGGTAAAACGCATCTGCTTTTGAGATGTAACTGAATGTCATCTTCCCTAAGCTGTTCCCCCCCTCCCCTCTTTTTTTTTTAAATATTTGCCTTATGTCTAATCACTCTAGCTTAATGTAGTTTATGTGTTTTCAGAATGGCAAAACGGGAAATCTAGGTTTATTTTCTGCTAATTTTTGAATGTAATTGAATGCTTTACTGCAAGGATTTGCTCAAACTAGTCACATCCCATTCACTTGATCAAGTACCTTCTGTTGGAATTCCAGCATTTTTCAGGTGTGAAAGATCTTCCACTGACTTCTTTCTTCAGGCATAACCAAAGGACACAGTGGGAATGAAAACAAACTGTCTAGTAGAAATGCGTGGGGTTTTTTGGTTATACGTTTTGCAGTTATTTTTTTCTTTTTCCAAGAAAAACTAAGTGACAAGAAGTTATTGGACCATCTTTAGGAAATAAGTAGCTCTCTTCTTTGTAGTTTAATTTTCTTTTCAAATTGTGTTAACTCCTGTGTACACATTCCTCATTCATACGTAGTTTTAACTACCTACTGAGAGGCCTTCTTCTTGTACCATGTACTTACCAAATCCATGTTGGTAGCTCTTACTGTTTACTGGGAGATATTATCTTTTTTTTTTTTTCTCCTGTTAATGCATGCCCTATTTTTATTGTTTTAATTCATTTGCCTGAGTTCAGGTAACTTTAGTTTAAATCCAGGTGTTGTATATTGGGAGTGCTTTAATTCTTTCAGTATCTTTTTTGCTGTTGTGCTTTATATTTTTTTTAATTATTGCTATAATTTCTCTCACAGTAACCCAATACTAGGGGATGATGGCTTAGGCAGTAGCAATGTGTGCAACTGTCAATAAAATCTGCCTGTTGTCACCATTAACTTCGAAGCAGAGTGAGGAAGAGCCTAGTGTTAAGTCCCTAGGGAAAGGAAATTCTCCAAGCTCCTCTTGTTTCACAGCACTGCCAGAAATAACCACATTCCAAACAAGTCTCTTTGAGATTAAGAAAGTTTAAAAGGTGAATAGATAAAATGTCTTTGACTGCAGCTAAGTAAGGTTTCCTGTCCATTTGGATAAACTAGGGAGAATAAGTAGTAAAGTGTAAAAACAGGCAATATTATACACATTTATTAAGCTTGATACAGCCTGTTTTATACCATCTCTTTTTATTATTTAAGACCAATAAAAGCAGTCCAGCCTTAACTTGCAGTCGTTGTACAAGATTGTTTAAAAATATATTAAATTCCTAATTTTAGAATACTGTTTTACTATTAACCATCCTTACAATCAATGGTTGAATTCAAATTCAGTACCCTTGTTACCATCAAAGGGAGAATGGAGAAAAAGCTGGTAGGTTCTGTAAGCAGCTGCTTACATATTAACTGTTAATTCTTAATTGCCAACTAGAAGAAAAACGTGTTCCCCACTTAATTTTTGGAGTTGGTACTATGCAAACTTCCTTTTGTCTCTTTCTCACTACACACCTAGGCTGTGACTTGGCTGGAGGAGTTTTCAAGGTCAGAAATGTCCTGATCAGTTCAGTTGGGATCATGTGCAGTGATGGCGCAGTTCTTGCCAGATGGGGAGAAAGATGATGTCCCCCGCGAGTGTCTAGACAAAGTGCTGCGCTTCTGTCCTTATTCAGGCTTCATGTGCCAAGCTCAGGAGGATTTGGATATGGATTTTTTTGAAGCTTACTTGCAGATGAGGAGGACTTCAGTGCAAGATTAAGAATAATGTATATGGTTTTGGGGACTCTAGATTTGAAATCTGTGTTGAGATTGTGTTTGATGCTGCCCTGAGCAAATTTCACCAAAAGTCGCTAAGAAATCATAGCTTCCCAGGGGCTTATGTGTGGTAGAGCTTCCGTATCATTAATAGTTCATGCAAATAATGCTTCATTTTGTTGTATCCTGGTCTCTAATACAGGCAAAACTGTATTCTTTAAAAACTTTAACATATCACAGAATCACAGAATTTCTAGGTTGGAAGAGACCTCAAGATCATCGAGTCCAACCTCTGACCTAACGCTAACAGTCCCCACTAAACCATATCCCTAAGCTCTACATCTAAACGGCTTTTGAAGACTTCCAGGGATGGTGACTCCACCACTTCCCTGGGCAGCCTGTTCCAATGCCTCACAACCCTTTCAGTAAAGAAGCTCTTCCTAACATCTAACCTAAAACTTCCCTGGCGCAACTTTAGCCCGTTCCCCCTCGTCCTGTCACCAGGCACGTGGGAGAACAGGCCAACCCCCACCTCTCTACAGCCTCCTTTAAGGTATCTGTAGAGAGCGATAAGGTCACCCCTGAGCCTCCTCTTCTCCAGGCTGAACAAGCCCAGCTCCTTCAGCCGCTCCTCGTAGGACTTGTTCTCCAGGCCCCTCACCAGCTTCGTCGCCCTTCTTTGGACTCGCTCAAACACCTCGATGTCCTTCTTGTAGCGAGGGGCCCAATATATATTACAGTAGACACATAAATATTTATTTTTCTCAATTGCAGGATCAAACAGAGGCATGTTGAAATTAAGACAGCTCTTTAAAAGAGGATGAGCTGTCACATAAAATAAATGTTGTATCTGCAGCAGTTTGGCTGTTGTTTTAAATGAGTAGGCTCCTGGCTTGTTTCCTGAATGCACATTATCAGTCCGTGTGTATTGTAAATGTTAACTCAGTTTTCTTTGGTTCTGGCAAGTATTTATGTATCTGGTGTCACAGCCTAAGTGCTGCGGTATAAAATGCTTTAGTACACGTGGGAAGTGTGGGGAAAGAACCTTGTAATATAAATGCTGCTGGTAGATTATAAAAATTGTTACAACAACTGTCCTTCCTCTCTCTATCAGGTGACATTCCAGGCTTGCAGCATTTCTGAAGCGAGGTATCTCTATGATCAGCTAGCCACAATCTGTCCCATTGTGGTGAGTAATGCACTTCTGTCACATCAGATATTTGTTATGTGCAAGCCACTACGTGTGAAAAATAAAATCAGAATTAAGAGCTTAAATACTAGCAACAAATTTAATACTCTGGGGAAAGCATTGGTGTCTCTTACTATGTTGTCACATTAACAGTATGGTTTATTTAACGATGAAATATGTTTAATGTATCTGAGCTATCACTTTGGATTGCGTGTGTATTTGTGTGTTACAGTCTTCCTTAAAGAAAAGTGTGATACCACAAAGCAGAAGATGTCTGTTTCTCCACCTCTACCCTGCTTCCCACATGCACAAGACTTTAGTTGAATTACTTTAGAAACAATTTTTGGAGAATCTTTCATGGAAACTTGTTAAAATCGCTCCTTAAACAATTTTCAAAAACTTTAGCTTTGGTCTCATATAATAGATTCACCTTCTGTCCCTTTTGTAAACATGTGGAAATGGGTGTTATAAAGTTTTGCCCTGTTCAGGAAGAACTCCTGCTGCCAGTGAGGTGTATTCCAGCTCTGTTGCTAAGATGCCTGGCAGATAAGCTAAACAGAAATAAAATGTTTGCCAAGTGAACTTCCAGGGATTAAAGGAGTGTGCAAGCACAATCCTTGCTGATTTTTTTCCTACGCAATTGCTTCTACCTGTATCAACTTTCTGTTCCTTAAATGCTCATCTGTAGAGGTAGTGCATTTGGAAAGCATAAGCTGTTGTGTCAGTAATACTGACCTTTCGTCTAGGCATTTTATGGAGATAACAATTGAGAGACTGTGGCATGGGCTTCATTTACATGCCAAACTGTAGTGTGTACTTCAGTTACTTCTGGACTGGCAAATTTCCCTTCCCTATGGGATTAAGATAGTGTGTTTGGTTCCTTGGCTTGTCCTTTGTGTTCATATCAGGCTATTTTCTTTCAGATGGCATTGAGTGCTGCATCTCCGTTCTACAGAGGCTATGTGTCTGATATTGATTGTCGCTGGGGAGTAATCTCTGCATCTGTAGATGATCGAACACGAGAAGAGAGGGGGCTGGAGGTAAGTGATTTAAGTAGTAGGTGTCCATTATTTTTTTTGTTGTGTGTTGGCTTTTTTTTTTTTCCAGGCAAAAATTTTTTAACTTCCTTTATTATCAAATTCTGCCTGTGGTCATCAGAATCCCTAATGAGGGAATGTGGCAGTCATTGTGGTAGATGCACGAGAGATGGTGCAAACAGTCATCTTGGTTGTACAGCTTATGTTAGCAAATATGTTTTCAGTTAGATATGGAATTCCAGTAAAACTCCACTTTCACTCCTCCACAGCTTGCTAAAAATTGTCCTTCTGTGTTTAAAATTTCCATTTTGTGCTTAAGCCCAAAAGGCAAAAATTGCTTTGAGTTAAATAGTGGGTGATGCTGAGTAATCTAGTAGTGTAAACTGGAGCTACGTGAAGAGAGACAGTTGCTAGAACTTCAGGAATTGGCATCCAGGACACTTAGGGAATTAAAAACAAGCAAACAAAAATACTAGAAATACTTCTTGAGCTACACAGTTTAAGAATATCTCTAACAATGTGTGAATGAAACTGTCTCAGTATGTGTTGCAATAGGTATAATAATGCTTTCCAGACAGTCGGGGTAATAATGTTCTGTTACGTCAGGAAAATGTTTCCATTTAAGACTCATACTTTGAATAATTTTAATTGAGGCTGTAGGATATTTTAAACAGGATAATAATTCTCACATAAGTGTCATTAGTGAGCAAAACTTAGGTAACATTGTTAACAAGCTGTTAAAATATTGTATTCTTAAATTATATAGCCACTGAAGAACAACCATTATAGAATCAGTAAATCCAGATATGATTCCATAGACAGTTATCTATCTGAATGTGGTGAGAAATACAATGACATTGATTTGACAATAGACAAAGATATCTACGAGCACCTAATAAAGGAAGGTAAGTGTTTGCTTCATTATGAGCAGGTTTAGAATTATGCTTGCAGTGTGTGGGGATATTTTTACATTTAACTTTTTGTTTTGATCATGCTTCCCTGATAGTGATTCTACTCAAAGTATCTGTGCATTGTGGTATTGAGAAATTAAAAATAAATAAATAGAATTAGAAACTGTCCCTAATTCCAATTCAGGAAGCTTAGTGTTTTGTGTACTAATGTTTATCTTTGTGGAGAGAGCAGAACTGCATTAGGAAACATGGCACAGAGTTGCATCAGAAAACGGAAAGAATGGCAGCCACGCCAATATCCAGTTGCCACTTCCAAAGGAGATCTTGTTCATTTTTCTCTTTAATCATTTCCTTCCTTCCCAAAGTAATCATTTAAACCTTAACAGGATGTGGTGGGTTAAGATAGTATCGCGGAATTGGAATTTTTCATTTTTGGTTCTTATAAATCAAGTTGTTTCCAAGAGCCTGCTTTGCAATGTCTGAAATGTTTCTCTGAATTTTCATTTTGTAGGTATTGACCACCTTTTGGCACAGCATATTGCACACTTGTTCATTCGAGACCCACTGACTTTGTTTGAGGAGAAAATACATCTTGATGATGCAAATGAATCTGATCATTTTGAGGTTGTATCTGATTTAGAGGAATTTAATAGATGTAGAGGTGTGTGTGTGAAATGTTTTATAGTACTGCTTAATTGGAGGATGACTGTTAGCTAAGAATATTTTTTCTGGAGTTTTTCACTTAAGCTACTTGCTTAGCATGTGACTTTGTAGTTGTAAGCACATATTTTTGTTTCACCATTTACTTTGAAGAAGATGATAGCATATTTTATAGCCAACAAAATACAAAGGGCCCAAACTAATTATCCCCATTGTTATGGGGAATTGCATTTTTTGTGACTTCCTGAAAAATGTTTTGCATGACTTCTCTTATTCACGTGTGTGTGTCTTACATAGATTTATTAAAATCTGTATAATCTTAAAATGATTATGAAGTAATAGCTATAGTAATATTGTGTATTTCTACATTTGGATGAATTGATCTCTTATGGAAAGGCCAGTATAATCTCAACACATCCTAGTATCTTTTATGTAATCTTCAAACAAAATAGCATGAGAAAGTACAGCATATCTGCTTCTTGGATGAGTAGTTACATTATAGTTTTTAGAAAGTTGAGCAACTCAGTTTGGAAGCATTTCTCTGTGAAGTTGATGAGTTGTTCTTGGGAAACGACTAAGACAGTAGTTGTTTGTTCATTTTGCTTTGATCTTATAGATTGATGCGTATCTAGACTGTGACAGATTTTTTTCATGTGCTTTGCAGAACATACAGTCTACAAACTGGCAGACAATGAGATTTAAGCCACCTCCTCCAAATTCGGATATAGGATGGAGAGTGGAATTCAGGCCTATGGAGGTAAGGAAAGAGTCAATACACACAAAAACACGTTCACTTTTAAGTGGAAGAGTATGGGGTCTGCTGTCATCAAGTATCAGGCCCTTATTACTTATGCTGTGTTTTCTCCCCTCTGAATTGCCAGACGCAAATGAACTGGACAGCAGTGTTTAATCAGACACGGACTGTGGGAATGCAACTGACAGGAGAATCCACTGTAGCACAGCAAAGCATGCTAATGGATTTGGGGTGATGGGGAAAGGAATTAGGCTTGTACTAAAGCTATTGCAAACAAAGAGCCATTTAGTTTCCAGGGACCTTATTTATCCAGTACTTCTGTTGGTACTGAACAATTCCACAGTCACTATTTTGTGTTTTGTAAGTGCTTTTATTTTATAGCTGTCTATTTCAGAGCTGTCTGAACTGAATCCCCTAAGTAGAAACTTAAAAGCTGTTCTGCATGTGTAATTACACAGAGAGCCCAAAGATGCAAGTTATTAGCCTTTTGAAACACGAGTGTGCTTTGGCATTGGATTAAAAGGTTGAGCTTGTTGAAGTGTGTGCACTGCATTGTGCATTTGAAGACCTTGATTCCAGCATGTACATCACCATCTCTGCTAGTAGTGTGTGTGTGTGTGTGTGAATACAAGTATCAACATGAGTGCTTGAGTCACACTTTTAAACTCTCCCAGATAGCCATCTAATTCTATGAGCATGTTCCCACTAGAGTAATTCAGTCTCTAATCCTTTCATGTCTAGGTCCAGTTAACAGACTTCGAAAACTCTGCATACGTTGTGTTTGTGGTACTGCTAACCAGAGTGATTCTGTCATACAAACTGGATTTTCTCATTCCTTTGTCCAAGGTAGGTGTGAAAGGTCAGATGTAGTAGAGCTAATTGCAAAATATTTGCATCCCAGTTGATTGCTATCCTCTGCAAGCTAGGAATTAATATTTGTACACTTACAGAACAATCATTTCTATCTTTCTATCAGTTTAAATCTGGACCAATAATTGGCATCAACTTCACTTCTACACTATATTAAAAAATACTGCTATCTAATGGCGTTAGGCTTTACAGACAGATAGTTAGCTTTCTCCCATTTGCATTTTATGGCTCCCTTAAAAATGTCTGATGGGCCGTTATTTATAAACTGTTCACAGAAATTTTTAAGCTATCAGAAGCAAGAATGTCTTACCTGTTCTTAGAAGAAATAATCTGAATTTAGCCTTCAGCTCTTAGCAGTAAGAAAATTTGCTGCATCTTATCTTTGTTCCTCTTACACAAAGCCAAAATATGTTTGCCAAAGGTACTTCAACATAAATTATAAAACTAATTTTTTTCAGGTTGCGAAACTTGACTTTTCCATGTTTGCTTTCCCACCAAGATCCACCTTTCCAGCAGCTTATACAAATTCATGCCTCCTTGTTCTTTCTTCACTTATTCCTTTTGACTTACATATTTAAAAATTTGGCATTGTATTAAATCTATTCTTCCAGTAATAATGTTCATTTGTGCCATCTAGTGCTGGTGGCCAGGTACTTTAGCTCTCCTCCTAAGTTTATCTTGTAGTCTTGCATCCAGGGAAAAAATAACAAGTTAAACTTCAGGCATCTGTTCTAGTGCAAGTTCTGTAAAGGGAGGAAGGAATAAATAGTGTATAAGCTTTGCTGAAGAGATGTTATCACAGTTGCCAAATTAAAGAGGTCTGTGGAGAGTTAGTCATTCTTTTTTTCACAAAAGTATTAAGCCATTGCCTTCATGTCAACTGCAAACTCTTTCTGCAGACCTGCTGCTGCATTTCAGTGAGCAGTAGCCATGCAGTACTGTTCTTTTCCTATTTGGTTGCTGTGAGGCTTCATGCTTATTTAGTGAAAGCTGAACAAAATATTTCCCTGAAGCCCTGCCTGCTGCTGCTGGTGGAATTTCTGTGGTGCCCAACTATGTCAGACTACTACAGAAATGTTGATAAAAGCCCATTGTCACAAATCTGCTTGAAGAATGGGAAAGGAGATATTTCCACCATTTTATGGGTGGGGAAAGTAATCTGTGAAGGCTAAAACTATAACTTCCTTAGTTATTTATTTTAATGTGGCTATGGCCTATATCTCACATTATTTATATTTTGCTTTTGTTTGGGGGAGAGGGAAAGAAGCTGAGCACACTCAGCGTTACTCAGTATTGAAAACAGATACTCTGGATTCTGGTCACAACTACAACTAGCCATGCAAAATTTGTTTTTTCCTTAATATCGGCCTCACAATTGCTGAACTGTTTTGAAGGAAACAGTCTTTGTACGCCTTCCGGAGGCACCTGACCAGAAAATCCCTTTTTAAAGGCATAGTCCTGCAATGTTATAGATGACTTTAAAGAAGATCTTGTACAGCAGAAGGTTTTTGACAGGCTGTGTAACAGAAAACACTGCTAATGCTGGCTGTGGCGTAGCAATAGTCCTGATGCTTTTCTAATGGTTTTAACCAAAACTGAGAAAAAAAATGAAGTTGCCAGTTAACAACTATATATATATATATATATATATATATATATATATATATATATATATATGGTATGATTACTGTTATGATCTATTTCTGTATGAAATCATACTAACACCACAAAGAGAAATTCTCTTCCTTATGTTGGGGAGTTCAGATTTCATACTTAATACAGTAGATTAGCACTTATAGTTCACAGTTATGTTAAGTGGGATGTCTTAAAAGTGCAAAAATATTTTAACTAATGAACACGAGTTATGACCAAAAAAGAGCTTGGGTGCAGGAAAAATATGAAGAGTTTTTGATGGAGAAACCAAATTGAGCCTGCCAAGCAATGTAGCAGGTAATGCAACACCAAATTGCACAACCATTGGTAAACCCGCCTCTTATAATTAAAAGAATAAAGGTTTATGGGGCTAATCTCATGCTGATCTTTTCTGTCTGAGTACTGTTGTATTTCAGTTAGCAGTTGTGTAAACAAATTTCATAATACAGCATGAACAAAACCAGGCTTTTGACAAACAAAGCTTTGAAAGGCAAGAGTTAAGATTTTATTTCTATTAGAGGTGGAGCAAAGAATTCAGCAAATTTATACCTTCTTCTAAAGACAACATAGTAAAGTTAGTGTCCCAAAGCAAAGTGCTGTTAATTCTCCAAGAACATTCCTGTTTAAAAAAAAACTTGGACAAAATCTGTCTGGAAACTTATGAGCAGTGCTTTGTACTTTGTAGACTTCTTGGGAAGTATGTAACTTAGATAAAGAGCTATAAGGTAGTTCTAACAGATGTTCAGATATGGGATAGATATAATTCTCATACAGTGTTACTGGGATTCTGTTTCTGAAAGGTTTTTTTTCTCAAATTCAGCATTAACTTTTCTAAAGATTTCATTGATTTTTGTTAATAAAAGCAACAAACTATGGCTAGGAAAGTGGCAGTTTTCTTTGTCTGTACTCATTTAGGTTGCATCTGAATATGCAAAGAACTTTCAGATGGGATGCAACCTGTTGCCTGTTTTCAATCCAACTTAAAAGCTTAGCATGGCATGTACTTACATTATACTATTACCTTTTCTGCTGAAGGCCTACATTTATAGAATGTGATCTCCTTATGGTTTTGCACAGGAAATAAAATAAAAAAAAAAAAGTCCAGAGTTTAGCCTTCCGGGGTGAGATAATAAAAAACATAGGGGATATTTCAGTAAATGAGACCAAAATGTGAGGATTTGGAGAATCTAATTTTCAAAAATTTCACAAATCTCTGCAATATTTCTTTTTCCAGGTGGATGAAAATATGAAGGTGGCCCAGAAAAGAGATGCTGTCCGGCAGGGAATGTTTTACTTCAGAAAGGATATTTGCAAAGGTATCCCAGCCAGTGATCTGGCAACATAGTTGTTGATGATTAGTGTATCTCTTGCCTTCTAACTGCTTCTTCCTTTCCCTTTGTCACTTATAAAGGTGGAAATGTTGTTGTGGATGGATGTGGCTCTGCGCAGAATGGGACAGGCACAGACACAGAAGAGTACATCTTAATGAGCATCGATACAATTATCAATGGGAAGGTCATAACCTCTTCTACCTGGAACACACCCCTCCTCTCCATCCTCTCAGAAATCTGATCAACCATGTTTCATGTTAACTGTGTTCTCCTATACAGGAGGGAGTCTTTCCTGGTTTGATCCCAATTTTGAATTCTTACCTTGAAAACATGGAAGTGGACGTGGACACAAGATGCACCATCCTAAACTACCTGAAGTTAATAAAAAAGAGAGCATCTGGTATGTTTGACACTTTCAGACACCTGTTTTCCTGGCATTTTTCTACTTAGAAAATAATTGAGATGTTCTCTAATTATCAGTTGGTAAAACTGGTGGCAACTGTGGCTGTCTGGGTAGGTGTGGAATCATGGGAGCAAAGGACTGGAATGCATTCTCTGGCTTATATTCGGTCCTGTTTAATTCTGATCATAAATGTTTCATGATCTATTTAGGACTTAAATCAGGAGTAATTGTTACACTACCCCTGAAGCTGCAATTATATCTCCAAGACTTTTTTCAGCACTGCTGCTTTTGCCAGTGTACTGTCTATGTTGTAGTAATTTGTACATAAACTACTTTTTTCCTGGAACTCAAATGTTTTAAGGGTATATGAGGCTGGGTCTGATAGCCAGGTAATTGGTGCAGTTCCCAAACATGCTTGCATTAAGTTGGATTAAGCTCTGATATGCCAGAGCACAGGGCCTTGTCTTTAGCTCCCCAATAAGAGAGCCCTTCTGGAAGTAGTGAAACGCCTTCAGGTCAAAGTAAACCAGGCCCTTTCTATGCCCTTCTCTTGCTGTAGTGTTTTCCCAGATAGGTGGTATAATGGCTTTTTCTGCTGCTCCTTAAAATGCAACAGTATCCTGAATAGGAGATGCAGGCTAAATGATTTCGTTTAAAACCGGGCACGTGGCAGCTTTATACTGATGTGTAAATCTCTCATGTGCCTTTCTTGCTGTAAGTTTATCTAGACAGTTAGTTTTAGTCTTAAAAGTCGAGACACAGATTTTTATTTATGATGCATTCATTGGTTTTAAATGTTTTATTCCTTTTTAATTCTTGGAAATTGCTGTAGAGCCTTCTACCTAAAGACATTTTTAAAGGTGAGATGAAAATCAGGCTGCTTCCTTGCCTGGTAATTTAATACTTTAGTAGCACTTCAGAATGCTAACAAGTTATAATTAATTCCTGCTTTCACTGAAAATGTTGTGTCCTAAGGCTGCTTGTTTGCAGGAGGCTTCTGTCCCTCAGATAACACAGCCCAGGGATTTGATGCCTGGCTTAACTGAGAGGGAGGAAAGAAGCTGGCAGGTAGAAAACATCTGAGGCACATCAACCCTCAAAGTAGCAATGCTTCAAAAGTACTTCTCTTTTAATATTTTTCATTAAGAAAAATGCTGCTGGGGAAAAAAAAAAAAGGAATGGTCTTAAAGTTTTTTTTCCTTTTTGTTTGTGGAGAGCTAATTGCCCAGGCTCAGCCCTGTGTCACAGGTGTTCCCATTCCAAAGAACCTCTGCTTTGTGATGTGAAGCTGTGGACACTGCAGAAGTCACCCTCTTAGACTTACACAGATGTAGAAGGTGTGAGAACAGATCTTCTAGGGTGTATATCTTAACTCTAAGCTTGAAATAATTGTTAAGTAAAGCTTCATAAGAACAACAATACACGGAATAAGAAGCATTAGGCGTCATGTTACTGTGCCATATTTCTCAATCATGAGCTCTGGATTTTTCTGGTGTACCATTGATCTGAAATCAAATGTTCCTGAATTGCAGGCTGTCTAGCATGAGACATGTCCACAGAACAGCCACTTGTCATACTACTCTCCTCAAACGGTGAACACAGAGCACTTGTGAGAGTTGAATGCTGGTGCCCTAGCTGCTGAGGATTTAACCTTGCCCTGGCATAGTTTGTTGGTTGCTTTTCTCACAGCATGGTTAGAAATTGCCCTGCCTGGTCTCAGTGTAGCTGCTCTGTGACTGTCACCACGCTCCGTGAGACTACAGATGTGCTAGGCAAGCAGCAGCTGCTGACCACCACCAACTGGTACAGAAAGTAGTGTTAGGATGAGCTGCAGCAGGTTATCCTTGTCCTGGTTTGCTCTCCCAGCTCTTGCTGTCTGCAGTGTGGGCATTTTTGTATTTATGCATAGGTAGCACAGTTAGCATGGTGCATGATAACAGCTCACAAACATGGTTTCCACGATCTCTGTCAGATCCATCTTGAAGCAACTATATTTTTGTTCCCACAAAGTCATAAAAAATGCCACAATTTTATTATATGCTCTTTGAAAAAAATTACTTCCTTTATTTTTTTATGTTTAAATGCGCTTCCCAGTAACTTCATTATAGGGCTTCTGGTTCCTGCACTGTGGGATGATAATGTTTTTCTATTCACTTTTGATCAATGTTGATGACTGTGCAAGCTTCTCAAAATCTCTTCCACCCTTGAGATACTCTTTGTCCTTTCTTTCTCCACTTGGAAGTCGTCTTAAATGTTTGTCAGTCTGTGGTGCTTTTTTCCTGATTCTAGTATACTCTTTTTGAGAACTTCATGAGGAGTTCAAGGTGAGGGTTTATACAGTTTTATACAGATGTATACAGGTAGAAACAATGTCATTTATTTTCGGTGGAGAGTGGTGGGGCTGTGTGACCACCAGGTGTCAGTGTTGTATGAGCTTCACAGTATTGGGAGTGCAGGAACGTCTCTTGTTATGCTCTGCTCATCTCCTGGTCTCGCTGATTTTCTTGCAAGCCCTCTGCTTCTGATTTGTTTGAGAGCTTTCTCTCAAGTTTTTAGTGCCTTCACCAAATGTGCCTTGCATATTTTTCTTCTGCCCCTTTTTTATATAGAAGTGTATAACATTGGCCTCATTTGTTTAAAAACATGACTTGTTTTCTGAGGATGTTTTTATTTCTAATAACTTTACATATTACACTTCCCTTTCTTGTTCTTTTCATATTTTTTCTGATTTCTGTTAGTATGCCTCTGTTCAAAACCATTCATAGGATATCTTCAAGCAGTACTGATGACACACAGAATGCTTTTTACTTCTTGTTTGTTCATCCTTGCTTTCCCTAACTTGATTCCTTTTGTTTTTTAATAATATTCTTAAGAAAAAAAGTGTAGTAGAAGCCTGCGGCTCTTTCCTCTCTAATAAGGGAGCAGTAAAGGTTTAGCTAGGCTCTTCAAGCAATGTCTTGCCTCCAGAGTTACCTTAAACTTGTATTGATGGAGGTTTCTTTACAAATGCTGTGTGCAGGAGCAAGGTTCAGCTCCCTAAGCACTGGCATCCAGCTGGCCTCCAGCTGCTACCCGTTGAGAAGTCAGGTCTCCAGCAAGTAGTGGGTGTCACCTCCTGACCCTGAATAGAAGGCAGTAGCACCTGCTGCAGCAGCTGGGTGTAACACTTCTCTCTGCTCTGTCTCATTAAAAGACCTGAAAGTTTGAAGATCATACCAGATAAATGAGTTTTGGACTATCAGTGATACGTCAGCTGAAGTATACTTGAAGTTTAGTCATTGTATAGCAAAAAAATACACATAGTAGCATGTTTCCTAAAAATATAGGCTATTCACTAATTGTGTATGTAATGCACACAACATTTTACTGCTAAATTAGATGTATAAACTGTGAAATTTGACTTGATCTTGCCCACAGGAGAGCTGATGACAGTTGCCCGATGGATGAGGGAGTTCATCGCACAGCATCCAGACTACAAGCAAGACAGCGTGATAACAGATGAGATGAATTACAGCCTTATCTGGAAGTGCAACCAGATCGCACAAGGCCAGGCGGAGTGCCCTGAACTGTTGGGGGTAGGATTTAACAAGAAACAAAGCGGAAACAAAACCGGCTCTTTGTAATGAATGTTTCTCAGATATTAGAAAGTTCAAGCCTTTTAGCAAAGCACTAGCTAAGATACTGTGAATCTGATACAGCTTCATGGTGTGAAGACCAAAACAGGGATACTGCACTATAAAATGGGCCAATCTGCCTAAATATTCATTTAAGGCATCCTAAATAGGGCATATTCTTATTGTTAAGGTTTATACAATGTACATGTAAATAGTAAAATATTTTTATGATTAACATCAATGTATTTTAATAAGCATTGTATCTAAAGTTATTGTGAATTAGCTTGTAACTTTTTTATGCTTATTCTAGAAAGAAAAATTGTCCTGGACAGCTTTGTAAATGTAATGGTACTTGTATATTATATGCATTCCAGTTACTGAATGTTTACTGTAATTTTTTTAATCTGGAATGTGCTGAGTAATCTACCTTATTGTGTAAGAAAAAAAAAAAAAACTTTTGGACCTACCTGCTTCACAGAGACTTCTTCCTTCCATTCTGGTTTTGAAAATATGTAAGAACAGATAATTGCATGTGCATCAAATTTCTCAATCTCTACAACAGTTTCTCAGTTGCCACAAGACCTGCATCCAGTCATAGAGCGTAAAATTGGGAGGAAGAGATCAATCTTTATTCAGATAACACAACTCTGCCTGTCTCCTGATAACTGTAGTCTTAGGTAAGGGCTGCCCTGTGGTTTAGTAACCTGCATTTCCCGCAGCAAAGGACTAACATGAAGACATCTCCCTGTAGCAGCATCATTTTTTCCCCTCGCAAGTATGTTGTTATGGTTCAGAAGCTTGCCTGAGTGTTTCTTTATGATTTAACAAAAAAACAGTAAGCGGGGAGAGGCAGTGAAAGAGAGGAAGAATTGGGAAGCAAACATAAATATCTCTACAAGGATAGCACAGACAACTGCTCTGGACTGTGGCACTGCTCCCACATTACTGTAGTTGACAGCAACTGCAGCATAAAACCAAGGACCTTCTGGTTCTTCCTAAAGCTCAAGTTTCTCATCTGTCTTTTTATTAAAATATGTCAGCAAGTTTATTTCTGACAAGGTACTTCATGTAGCTAGCTGAGGTACCATGGAGCTATAGGTATGGGCAACTTAATCCCTTCTATAAAGCAGATAAAGGAAATCATGGAGTGTACTAATCCTTTGAATTGGGAGCCAGTGCTGGGAGTGACTGTAGCATATTTAAAATTTAGCCATTGCAAGTGTAAATAAAGCAAATTAATGGGCCCTTTTTAATTTAGCTTCTTAACTGACTCCTAAAAGTGGATTGCAAAGCTTAACGCAAGCATATATAATTACCTAAGGTGTAATAATTTTTACAAACAACTAATGGAGGAACTGCAATGAAGAGGTGCACTAAGAAGAAGCTTTTATGTACTGACATTAGAATTTGTTCTGTGTTCACAGGTGTGCTTTAGAGAATAAAATGCTTTTTTTCTGCAGTGGTGAATGTTTTAATCAAGATGTAGGCATATGCTAATTTAGTTTCTGTAATAAGGAAATAAAAATAAAATTTGCAGTACGTGTTGGTCACTTGCATCAGTTGAACCCCTGTGCTCAGATTCAAAGAAGCAGAAGAGCTGCATGTGCAGCAAGCAGAGCTCGTGTAAGGCAGACTCTGGTTTTGTACAGTGAAACTTCTCAGGACTGGTAGCCAAAGTTTTATTAGCTGTTGTCCTGGCACTTAAAAGCCCTGAGTTCTGGTGTCCAATGTGTTGCGTTCATAGTTTCAGAAAGGATGGGAAAGGCCGGACACGAGGCTGCTGCTCCTTTGTTAAGGTGTCTGTGGTTGCTGGATGAGGAGTTCAGGTATGTGCCCCAGCCTGTTCTAGGCGTGTGGTGAAGGCCCTGGGGCAGCGCTGAGTTGCTGCAGGAAGGGCAGGCTTTGAATAAGCCCTTAGAGAGGAGCCTGCGGTGTCTTCGCCCACTCAGAGGTGGAGAAGCAAGCCCTAGGCCAACCTGGTGCTGGCAGGCTCTGGCTGACCTTCAGCACAAAGCACGCGACGCTGCCTCAAGTTATGGATTCAGGATTTTGGGGTCCTGCGGTCACCAGGTGCTCTCACGGAGATACTGACTCCTCCGCAAAGGGAGGGGAAGAAGCACAGAGCACCTGAGGTGAAAGGTGGTTGGTTCCTTATCCCAAAACTCTATTAACGTGGTGATCTTTGCATTTCCCATAAACACTACAATGTTTTGGCCCCAGTTCAACCGCAGTGATTCAACTCTTGCCTTCCACTTGGCTTTCAGCTGGAAGATGTTTTTTCTGATTTCCTGAGGTGTCAACACTATAAACAATACCCTGACAGCCATGTTTTTCTTGACAGTAACCTACAGGAGTACAAGTACCTTTTCTTTCCTGAATTATTTTTGCTACACTTGTACCATGGCCTAAATCTCCAAAATGTGGCTCACTGTGTGTGCATGCACAGAGCAGTGCGAGCACTTTGCGTCTCTGGGAGTGGATGGGGTCAGTTCGTGCAGCCAGCTCCAGAGCTGCTTTCCCACATGGTTTCCCCAATAAACATGTAAATAGCCCTGGGGAAATGTTTCCTTTGGAAACCTAAATGCAACCTCTGGAAGAAAACTTCAACCACCCATAAATGCTGTTAATGAATTGAACATGGGGTGAAAATCTACATCTTATGTGAAGCAAGATACAGCATTTAGTCTTTTCTAAGTCCATGTGTATCTATCTATTAATTTGGCCCTTCAATTTAATCAAAGCTCTTCCAAAATCTACCCATTGCATACACCTAGAGGGAAATCTGTAGTCATCCTGACAGTGAGAAGGCAAAAATGACTGCGGTGCAGCAAAGGGAGGGAAAGGACCAGGGACAAGCTGCTAACAGGCATGCTCATGTGTGATGGCTCCTGATCGCTGGCTTCCAAGAGTTTGTTTTTTGGCTAGAAAAATGTTAGTTTATAAATATTGAAGCAACAGCAACTGCTCTTTCTCTGGAGGGAGTCCAAGCTCCTATTAACTGCAATTAGATTAAAAGGAAAGCAGGTTGTTATGAGGATGACAGCACAGATTTTGATGAAGGCATCCCAAATAGCACCTTGTCCAAGTGCATAGCAAGGGGTTGTGTTTTGTATGTTGCTCTTGCCCTGGGAGGGTGCAAATTTTAGTTTTCTTTGTCCTGCACAAAAAGTAAAATTTGTGTCTAATACCTGTTGATAAATTAAGTGTTCGTTGGTTGTGTGTTTCCTGCAATGGTCAGACACTTTTGAGAGCCCTTGTGTTGCTAGAGGCCAGTAATGACATGATTAAATAAAGACGCTGCCAGGCTCGCAGCTCTGCCAGCCCCACTTTCTGCTGCTCAGAGGTGCAAAGTGACCTGAGAGCAGCAGGGAACTCACGGCCAAGCTCTCCCTTTTTCACAGGGAGAGCCCGTGATGACACAGAGCCGCCTGAAGAGGCTCTGGGAATTTATTTAAGGAGGAGAGGTCATGTGCAGAAAAAGAGGCTGGGGGTGGTAGGGAACAAAGCGTGAAGGAGTGAAGCCGAAGAGTCTGAAACCGCCTGCTCCTTCCCATGCTTTGCTTCCCCACGCAGCAGCAGCTGTGCCAGGATGACCTCCGGCTCCCCGGCATTTTTCAGCTCAGTTTATTCCTTCCCTTACACCACTTACGAGGCTGGGCTCCACGCTTCCCAGTCCTTTCCCATGGAAGCACGCACACGCAGGGCCGGACGCCTCACCCCCCCGCCCCGGTTTACTCACGACATGGGCATCCAGGGGCCGGGAGCTCCGAGTGTTTCTCTTGGCCGTGTAAGGCACTGCGACTCCGTGCCCAGAGCCCGTCGTGCAGCTGCCTGATGGAAACCAGGGCGCTGTGCCAGCAAAACCTCCGCACCGCCAGCACCCCGCGGCCTGCCCGGCTCGTACTCAGCCCCCTGGCACCAGCTCGAGAGCCTCCGAATCGAAGCAGCGCGGAAAGGGATGTTACTGGGGGGAGGCCAGGCCTGGGTTGGGTGACTGGGAGATGTGGCTGCGTGTCCCAGATGTAAACCAGGCTACCAAGCTCCCCGGCCTCTAATTCATCCCAGGGTGAACGACAGAGATGCACTTTCAACTCTGACGGGGTCCTTAAGTTGTGACAGTATTAAAAGTGTTGGCAAAGCAAAAAATCCCCCAAACAAGCCACAGTCCTCGCTGGGGTCTGCTCACGACATGAGGAGGGATGAGGTTAGGAAAAGCTCACTGCTAAGCCCAGGGCCAGCCCTAGGTGGCCTCCTAAGTTCAGAGGCAACGCGGTGAGCTGGGAGAGAACATAACTGTCCTGGGAGGAATAAGGAGAAAAACTTCAGGATTTCAGCTCCAAATCCTCTCTGGATTTTGTCCCCAAGCATCTGCCCCCGGTCCAAGTCCCAGCCCATGCCGTCCATGCACATCCCGTCATGTCCTGGCGTGAGCTCAGGGAGCTCAGCAAGCAGCTCCGGCCGCTTCCCAGCCCTCTCGTGCAGCTCTCCTGGGGGCTGCAAGAAGGGCAGCCCGTCCCTTCCAGGGGTTTAGTGCAGCTGATTGCATTGCTGAGAGCAAAACTGTCCCCTCTGAGTCAGGCTGCGGAGCTGCCAAGTGCTCCCGGCCGTGGCACACCCAGCTCAGCTCTGCGGGGTGAACCCGGGAGCTCTGCTTTCAGGCGTAAAGTAGGGAGGTGTTGCTCTTGAAATGTTCGCTTCTGGACAGCAAACGTCACTTTAGAGATAAATAAATAAATAGAAACAACTCTGTCTACTGCAGCTCAGAGAATTACTAACTAACATTTTGCAGATTTTTGTCTTTTCCCCTTTATTTACGGCCAGCCCGACTGGCACAGGTCCCACTGCTTTTGCTGGGCAAGGGCTGGGGCTGGTTTTGGAGTAGCCGTGGGGAAACCCACAGCAGTCTCTGAGGCAGCTCTGATGGGGAGAGCAAGTGCTGGGCTCCCGACCCCGGACACATCCCCACCGTGCTGCTGCTCGCACCGGGAGCATCTCAGCGATGTGAAAGGCAGAGTGCGGGTAGGGCAAGGCAGGGCAGGAGGGATTTTTGCGAAGCATCCACAATATCCTGGGAACTTGTTCTGACTTCCCACTTTCCTGTCATCCAGGCACGCGTGGTATCATCAGTATGTGCCTGTTTCCTCTCAGGCTGTGGGGATATGAAGGTGTGGCATGCCTGGGAGAGATGGCAGTCCTGCTGCATCCCTTGGGCTGCGATTCCAGCTTCCAGCAGCACGGCGTGTTTGGCCTTGCCATGAGCTGATGCAACGCGGTGCTTGCCCTGAAGCCGAACCCAGCACTAGAATAAGACATTATTCCTCAACCTGCCTTGGAAAAGCAAAATCCACACTACAGAAAGGAAACTTGAAGGACTCAAGCTGTGTACCAGAGTATCCAGGGGAAGGCTCTGCCTTCTGTGCTCCTGTTTTTATAAATCTTTGTAACTCTTGGCAAGGTGGACCAGGGTGAGCTGCTCTTCGTAGGGAGAGGAACACTTCCTCCAGGGTCCTGCTGTCCAGAGGAAGGGACAATCTACCAGGCGCATCGCTGTTTGGGATGCCACCGGATCTGGCATCTGTTTCCAGACTTACATCCACGCAGAAAGGGAGTGTTTAATCTTCCTTTTGTCCCAATGCAACCAAAGGAGTTCAGTAGTCTGAAAGCTGTGGTAACAGCTTGCTGCAGCCATGTGCAGCTTGAGGCATGAATCGCTGTGCCTCCCGTTGATGTGTGACAACTGGAGGCACTGTGTTGGTCCAAACAGACCCTAGAGATGATGTGGTGTGGTGAGTCTGGTGCTCTAATTGCAATTAACATGATAGATTTTATCTACTGAGCTGCTCTGTATTTACTACATTTCCTCAGCCATGCCTGGAGTCTGAGAGAGGTGACACAGTGACAGCTTCACACACCCATTTCCTACCTTTTATCGTGAGAAAACGCAGCGTGTATAAATTTGATCTGTACCAGCAAATTCCTCATTGACATCTTTCACTGGCAGAGCCCACTGGCTGTAAGGACTTGTAATCTGCCAGATGTGTGTTTCTCTGACACCTACCCTGAGAAGACATCTGTGAGCTGTGCTGGGGTACCACAGGCTATGTGTGCCTCCCAGGAGGCATTAAAGATGGATTTAATTATCATTAAATCCTAGTGCTGAGCCTTCATGGCGTATCTCCAGCGGGAGATAAGCTGCTGTGACAGGCCCTACAACAGAAGCCAGTGTTTTAGCAGCTACTTTTCAAAGCTCCTTTGATGGGAACTTCCATAACATGAGGTTCCCAGTTCTGTGATGTGATGATTCCTCCCTGGGTAGGGATGGGAGCAAACCTCAGCCACTCCCCTAGAGTTCCCATCAGCTCTTCAACCTAGTCGAGAGGAAGTGCAGAGATGTCTCTCGGGGAAAGAAGGCTTAGTTTCATCATTACTTCCCACTTTCCCAGCCTTATCTTCTCCCCAAGTAGACTCTCCACCACTGAGTCTCCTGTCCAAGTGCTCCTTTTGCTCCAGCATCAGCTCTGCCTCCTGATTTTGCCCTGCCTGCCTAGGA